TTTTTTTTTTAACCTCAGTTGTAATCCCCGCAGACTTCCACCAACACTTCACCCCGTACCATCATCATAGTCCCATGGTATTCTTCCCGCTCCAGTTTTGATCCTCACAGTTACTTCTTCTAACTTCTAGGAAACTAGGACTGAATGCGTGAAGAAGGCAGTCGGAATAGTTTATCTCATGTTAAAGAAAATTTGGAATCAAGCAGAGACATGCCCTGCTTCTGACTGGAGAGCCCAGTGTGCTGGGGAGGAATCTCATCAATGTTAGGCCGGCCCTCGTCCTCGTGATCACTGCTTCATTTGGATTCCATTAAATTGCCTCATTGCTCCCCTATAAAAGGTGTCCCCACTGCTAGTTCCTCAGATCACTGCCTTCCAGTCTTGTTCCACTCAGCAAAGCAGGTAAGTCTATGCCTGGGATGGCCTCGGAGATGTTGGTGTGGGGAACGCAGGCAGAGGGGTCGGGACAAGACACAGAGGGTGGCCCCTGAGGAGGCGGATGGGAATACTTGGCAGGAAGCACAGAGCCGGAGCCAGAGGCGAGAGGAACAGATGTGAACTGAGCTGTTTGTCCTGCATGAGAACCGAGCTTATCAGAGAATTGGGTTGCCACTTCTCCATATCTGATTTCATGTATCAGTTCTCTCTTGGGCCCATGAATGAAATGAGGTGATAATCTAGCTAATTCAAAGGGCAAACAGTAGAAATTTAACAACCCCAAATTTAGCTTTGCCAGGCTCTATCAGACTCCAGTCCCATGGACAGGAATTTGCCATCCCTGGTATGCCTGGTTGGGTAGGAGGAAAAAACCAGTCTTGAGAAAATTGGCAGTAAGGGGACATCAGTGGGGATTCTCCCAAGGAGAATTCACAGTGCAGATACTGGTTGTAATTAAGAAGAGAGGAGGCTTGGGGACTTTGTGGGAACACTGCCAGCGTCTTTAATATCCTTGATAGTCCATCGTGGGTAGACACTGAGGTCTAGGGTGAGTGTTGTCCAAGGCACGTGTCAGCAAAGGCCCAGACCTAGGATGCCTGATTCTGAGTACCCCACGTCTGGGGGACCTTCTGGAAAAGGCTACCCACTTGCACACTACTGGGTCCAAAGGGGATACTATAATTTAACCTGGAAACCTCCTCCTTAAAAACGAACAAAAAATATTTATTTATGCATATAGAACTGGAGGGTGGGGTACAGGCCAGAGGTGCAGGTTCAGTGAGAAGATTCACCAGAGACAGAGTGGGGAGCAGAACAGGAAGATCGAGGAAGTACACTGCTGAGGGGAGCAGCGGGTGAGACAGGAGAGGTCTGCCGCGCCATGTGGTCTCCTCCGGGGCAGGCGGGAATCGAACTCATGCTGAAGTGGCTTTAGCTTCTCAGTGCTGTGCTTTAACCTGCTACACCACCAGGAAGGGCCCTGAAGTCTCCTCCTTTTGATGGATCTTTTCTTTTCAGATTGTGCAAAGCCACAGAAAGATGTGTGACCAGCAGAAGCAAGCACAATTCCCTCCATCTTGTGTGACAGGGACAGGATTGGGAGCTGGGCAAAGTACCAAATGTACGTCTGTGAAGTGCCCAGCTCCATGCCAGACTCAAACTGTTGTGAAGTGCCCAGCTCCATGCCAGACTCAAACCTACGTTAAATGCCCAGCTCCGTGCCAGACCCAAACCTACGTGAAGTGTCCAGCACCATGCCCAGCTCCAACTGTTGTGAAATGCCCAGCTCCGTGCCAGACTCAAACCTACGTGAAATACATAACTCCCTGCCAGACGTACGTGAAGTGCCCAGCTCCGTGCCAGACGACTTATGTGAAGTACCCAGTCCCCTACCAGACCCAGACGTACTATGTCCAGTACCCCTCATCTTACCAGACCTACTACGGTCAGGCTACAGCAAGTGGCGCGTCCAGCCAGTGCAGTATTCCTGACCCCTGCTCTGCTCCCTGCTCCACCAGCTACTGCTGCCTGGCTCCCCGGACCTTCGGGGTGAGTCCCCTGCGGCGCTGGGTGCAACGGCCCCAGGCTTGCAACTCGGGATCTTCGGGCTGCTGTGAGAGCTCCGGGAGCTGCGGCTCTGGGTGCTGCCTTTCTCGGGGCTGTGGTTCTGGGGGCTGCGGGTCTGGAGGCTGCAGCCACGGGGGCTGTAGCTCCGGGTGCTGTGGCTCTGGGAGCTGCTGTTTGGGAATCATTCCCATGAGGTCCCGGGGTCCAGCATGCTGTGATCGTGAGGATGACTGCTGCTGTTAAATAAGATGAACTGCTCTACTCCAGAATTCACTGCCCTACTCTACAGCCTGGAACACTCACACCCACCTATAGCCCTGGTGACACAGAATCTCACTGCTTCACCTCTGTGCTTTGCTTCTTTATCAAGGCAGCCTGCCAGAGTTAGTGCAACCCCCCAAACTTTGGCAAGAATAAAGCTCTGAATGTAATTCACGGTGCCTCCCTGTCTGGTTTTTTGGTTCATATTTATGCTTTTCTTGTAGATGTGCTTCTGTCTTCCCCTTTAATTCTTGTTACTCAATGAAAGGGAAGGTCTGTATGGACACGGATAAGCAGACCAAACTGGTGCCATCCTCGCCTGGAATCGCTATGCCTTCTAGGAAGCTGTGAATTAACTTCCCTGTGCGAACAAGCAGAAACAGAGGCTAGGATTTGGGGTGAAGGATTACTTTCTCTGGTCCTCCAATGGTCAGAGGAGAGTGTCAGCCAAGGTGAGGCCCCCAAAACTCAGGCATCACAGCCACCTGAGTTCAGTCCAGATGTCACAGAGACTGTGGAGATAGAGCTACTCAGGACATGAGGCATCCCTGTGCCTGTGAGAGGCTTGGAACCGTGCTGGACTGTATGGGTGATGTTTTCTGAACCAACAGTCTTGTCCCCTGGGGGAATTGTCCAGAACTGCCTTGAGGCAGGCAGTCACTGGCCCTGGGAATTCAGCCCTGGTAGTGCAAGAGATCTCTGGAAGACAGGGAGCCTGGTGGGACAGGGTCTGGCCCCCAGTCCAGTCGCCCTTCTTCATTTGTGTCTTCTACTCCAAGACTTGGCAAGCCTGGGATTGGTGGACTTTTATAAATAGCAGCCATAAGCACACATTAAAAATAGGTGGAGAGGTAAGTGCTGTTAAGAGCAACCATTCAAGGTCTGGTGGGTGATCACAGGAGACAGTACATTTGGGGAAGCAATGTGAGTCACCCCGGGGCCCTCCCAGAGTGACATCTGCTTTACCGTGCCGCCTTGGGACATCTGAAACAGCTGCGGACCCACAAACCATCCTCTGCCTGTCCTCCGTCCAGGCTCCATAACCTTGTGCCCACTCGCTGGACACCCACTCAGAGCTGAGAACAGCCACAGCTGGACCAGGGCACCTGCGGTGAGAGAAATCAAGAGACTGCTTATTTTGCTTTTATATATTTATTATTTAGAAATTAGATCAGTAGCACAAGCTATGGAGAAATTTTATTAGTGCAGATATTTGTGAATAAGAATCAAAAGTTACCTTTTGGTTTCTAACTCCAAGCCCTTTTTTGGAAATGACCACACCGATTGATTATATCCTAGGCATTGTTTATACAAAGACCACACAGAGCTGAAAGATTCCTGGAGCACTCTGTGGTCTAGCATCTGCTGAAAATGGCACCCCCAAAATCCAACTCAGCACTAATGTATCAAAATGCCTTAGGGAATCCATTCTGTAATCCAAGGTATACTTCTAGAGTCCCCAACTCCCCCAGGTGAGTTCTCACTGCGGCCCCTCACTAAACACACCCACCCAAAGCCTCTCTAACATGCTGGTACATGGCATCTTTTATCTCTTTCTCCTCCCTCCTCCTTGGATCTCACTAGCTGCCCTGGGGGACGCAGAGCCTGAGTCCCCTTAGTCTTCTCTACTCTTCCCTGAGTTCTCCACTCCACAGGAATGGACCTGCTCCTTTTTTCCTGCAGCCATTACAGCTTATCTCTAGTCCATTCTATGGACTTTGTACAGAGCGGAAGAAAGGAAATATAAAGTCTTAAAAGTAAGCACCTCCTCGTTGGTAGGGGGTGTGAGCAGCAGAGAGCAAATGCACGCATTAATGAATCTCAACCGATTACACATCTTATCAATTTTGCTTTTTTATTATATAAGATTTCAATGCCTGCAGGGTGAACTGTCTTCATTTAGTAAGTGACCAAAGCACATCAGCTACGGTCAGTGCATGTACCTGGATCGTGTCCTTTTTAACACCCGTCCGCTAATATTTTCACAGCCTGGCTAGTCAATGAGCTATTTAGCTATGTTTCATTGTCCTTTAGATATCTGGTTTCTCTCTGTTTCTCTTTTTATCACTTTCTTTCTCTTTCTGTCTCCATCTCACTCTGTCTCATTACTATACACACTGCAATGAAGGTCTTTTAAAACATGTTTTACTTTACTTTCCTCATTTTTTCAAAGTTCCACAGCCTTACATCCTTGTTAATGTTTTGGCAGTCTAGTGCCCCCTCAGATGTAGCCAAAGTCATTTTTTGACCTGTTGGGTTCGGAGAGCAGGGTCCTTGGGTTCATCTGGGGAAAAGTCTCACCAAAGCTCCTTTGGCAGCGGCAGCAGCAAGTTTCCCAGGGAGCTTCTCCATGAGACAGAGGCATCAATTACATCCAAAAGGGCAGGTTCTTTATAAAAGAAAGAGAATAAAGGACACTTGCAGAGACACAAGTGGGCAGAAAGGGAGCCTGGAAAAGGACAGGTTTGCTGAGCGAGGCCTGCACGGTCATGGTCGCAGGCTGGCGGCTCTGAGGACAGCTGCCCGTGCTGAGCGAGGGCAGGGCAGAGAAGCCACGGCATGGCCACAGTGATGGGGAAAAAGATGTCCTGAGCGAACTCTACAAACACAGGGTTTATGTACTCCACCCCATCCCAGACAAAAGAGATCAAGCCCTGCAAATCCCATAATGTCATCACTGCTGGAGGGAGGATTTCTGGGAACTGAGGGTGGAGCAGCCGGCTTGGTATGTAGCCAGAGACGTGTGGGTCTTGGGGTTGGCTTCTTGGTGGCCTTCAGTGTGCTATTGGGGTTCCAGCTTAGTGGAACTGTTAGGATGCATTCGCCAATTTTTCTCTCTTTCTCCCTGATTTATTCCTTTCTTCATTTCCCCTTTTTGTAAATAAACCTTTTATTAACATTTTTTGTGTGTGCCTGCAGTTGAGTTGCACTATAGCTGTCTTGTAAGTGTACAGGTGAAGACCCACAGTCAGCAGTCAGGCCAAACCCTTTCACATTGGGGTTACCCTGTAATATCAGGTCACAGGCAGGCAGGAGGCTGCTGTCCTAACAGCAGGAGCGAGATGACAGTGAAGGCACCTGAATAGGCCTGGGAGTGCCGAGGGCTGCTGCTCCCCGCCACTGCAGAACTTGCACTGAGATCATTTTCTTGTTAACTTTAAAAAAAAAAAAAGATTTTATTTATTTATACATGCAGAAATGGAGTACAGGCCAGAGGTGCAGGAGCAGTGAGAGGATTCACTAGAGACAGAGTGAGGAGTAGAACACGCAGCTGGAGGAAGCACTGCTGAGGGGAGCAGCGGAGGGACAGGAGAGGTCTGCTGCGCCATGTGGGTCAGCTCTGGGGCCAGGGATCGGCCAGGCTAGGGATCAAACTGGCACTGGGGCAGTCACAGCCTCACAGCACAGCACTCCAACCAGCTGCGCCACCAGGGAGGGCCACACTGAGATCATTTGCATCTCTTTGGGATGGGCTCATTCCTTTGTGGATTGGCTTGTTGTTGATTTTGAATAAGTAGAATTTGGGAAGGACCACAGATTCTATAGGGCCCCCACCCCACCCATATCCTCGCCTCTGTGTGTGCACCTCTGATAACAGTCTGGCTCTGTGCCTGCACCTAGGTGCCTGAAGATTTTTCATTTCTGTAGCTGGTTTAACAACTATGCTAATCACTTCTCTCTCACCTCCAGGCAGCTTGTGAGCCAGGTTTCGGTTCTCCTGGTACCTCTTGTCCAAGTTTTTTCACTCTTAACCTCCATCACAGTCACTGTAGCTCTCCCTCCCCCCAGCACCCATAGTCCTCCACTGTAGTCCCTGCTCTCACCCCTCCCTGTTCTCTCCCTTCTCTCTTTGAATATTTTAAAGTGTCATACTGAAACAGGACACACTTACAGAGAAGTACACGGTAAGTATATTATCAAAGCCGCTACTCAAGCCCCAGAAAGTGAATGTCATATTGAAACAACTAAATGAAAGTCCCTGCTCCTTGTGAAGCAGGGGGCCGAGTTTGGAGGCATAAGATGGGGTCAAAGAGAACTATCTTTCTGTAGCTACAGGAACATCAGGGGAACACTGCTTGTGTGTTAGGTGTTTGCATAGAAAATCTGATGTAAGAGCTCAGCAGCTGAGTTTTCAAGACATAAAGGGTGAGGGCCCAGGGATGCCTTCCAGTGAACCCCAAGGCACAGTGGCAGAGACCCCACACAGGCTACTGGAGATTGACCAGCATGAGACCAGGATGTGAAAAGCCACCAGGAACCTGGTGGGCCTGGGAGGTCTAGAAGTAACTTGTAATCTGTGAATTATGCTTATTGTGCCTGAGACTGTGCCACTTCAGAGACCGCTGGAGTGGCGAGACCGCTAATTAAGTGCATCACAGCCGGCCTTGGGGCCTAGGCACTGTGGTGTGTGGACTGGGGGCGCAGCTACTGTCTGGTCCACCGCTGATTAAGGGCTCCCAAGCTGGCCTGGCAGTCCAGTGGGTATTTTTACTGAACAGTTACTTAGCATTGATTTTGTTCCAGACACCTTCTCTACCATGTTGGAGTGTACGACTGAGCTGGAGAAAAGGCAACCAAATAATCCAGACACCTGATGCAAAGATGTACCTGACAGGGCTATGAAGGAGGGAAGCCAGGGCCCTGACAGTCTGCAGCATGCACCTTTTATCTAGTCTGAGAGGGCAGGAAAGACATCCTGAGAAAGTGCAACTGGATCCCAGGTTTGAGGGGGAGTTAATTACAGCATCTAGGGAAGACCGAGGCAGAGCCAGGGCAGGCCTCTGTGGGAGGAGGAGGAAGCCTGACAAGGGTGGGGAGCCCACAGGAGGGGAGAGGAGAGGATATGGCAAAAGGAGCAGGGGTCTGGGGCCCCACGAAGGATGCGCTGACCTCAAATGGATGGCTTGAAAAATGTTTATAGATTATTCACTTTCAGGACTTTTTATTTCCATTAAAAAGTTATCCTGTTATCCTATTTTTTTAAAATTCAGAAAATCTCAATGTCAAATTTCTTATGTAGATTAACTCCGATTTCCTGCTTCCTGCTCTCCTTTCAGTACTGGAGGGGCCTTACTGTAAAGGGTGAAAAGGTAAGGTAGCCCAGCACAGTAGTCAGCCCTGGGGAGGCTCTGTGGGCAGGTTGCCATGCCAGTCTCC